GTACTAAAAAAATAACAACATTTTTGAACTAAATAAATAAATCAATTAAAAACTATTGAATTTAAAATAATTAGTAGTATTTATTGACAGATCAATTTCCTAATATATTAATAGAAAATAAAAAAATAATGTAAAATATCAGTGCCATAGGCCTTTATTCACCCACTAAAAAAATCACCCAGTATAAATAAATAAAATAAAATAATAGAATAGTTGTAGCACGTTTGTCACCTTATCCTATAAATAAAATAATAAAATAATGTCCTTTATCGGCCTTTTTAATCTGTCTGGATGTAAACCATTAATTACTACAAAATCATAACGATGTTAAAATAATAGGTACTTTATTATAGCTTTTTACGTGTGTGTAGTTTCAAAAACATAATAGAAAAGTTTTTTTCTTAATTTATTTTTTAGCAATTAAAACGTGGCACAAAATACTTTTTTATAGAATAAGGGTGACAACCGAGCATACAGTCCACCTGATGGTAAGTGGATGTAAACTCAATTAAGAACTAATATTCAGGTGCGTTGTTACCCTGAGGACTAAGATGGAATGCCTGGTATCCAGTAAAATGGATCTCCAATTCTCTACACTCACCACACGAAACACAGCAGCATGTAGCTGCTATTTTACGCTAGTAATCTGTGAGAGCGTGGTTCTAACCCGGTCGAGCCGACACATTCGTGCTTCAACCCTAATATAGCTACAGCGTGGCTCTACCTCGTATAAGTATTTGACTAACATGGTATGATGTAAAATCTTAATTATTGTGACACCATCAATATTAACTAAACTTATCTATAAAAATATATTGTTTATGCGAGCAAATGTTGATACTGAACTTGATGCCGTAATGTCTCCGGAGTTTAGGTTTTTATTCTAAGACTGAACTACGATAAAAACCAATCGATACGAAGGGGAACTCTTACCGGCTTTGGTACGGCAGTAAGCTGTTGCAAAAAGTTCACAAGGATTACGGTATCCTATCCTAGTGCTATTCGTGTCTCGAAAAATAGTATAGTCTAGTTTTTATATTAGTCTTTAGTTTAGTTACTAGATCGTAATTATAGATAAACTAAACTACGATAGATACTAAACTATGTTTTATCAAAATATACTCTGTCCTGGTATTGCGTTTTTGTATATACAAAAGTTGATAATAGGTATTTAATAGGTATATTGATGTTTTAGTATTCTTCAACTCAGCAGAACAAAAATTAGGATAGCATGCAAAAATTTTTGCCACCATCAATTTATTTATCGTTGGTAGATTAGTACTTTCTGCTTTTACGAATTCGTTTTCGTGATGTCTTTTCAATAAAATTCGGAATAAAACTCAACAATCGTAATAATAACTTGAAAATTTTCAAAATATCACAGCACATTAGCAAGTTCTCTTAATCAGTGACGTCACAACAGTCTAATATGGCGAACAGCGTTTTGCAGATTTGAGGCACAGACAAAAAATATTCTTAAAATTGAAATATAAAATTTATAATGCAATTTTATAAATAGAAATCAATATTTTTCGTTTACTTTTTACAAAATCTATTTTAAATATATATTTTTTGATTATTTTATATGGTCTAAAATACTCTACGTTAGTATCTATATTCTGTCTCTACTTACAAATAAATTAAAACTAAAACTACACTTAATCTAGGAATCTTTAACCTTTAAGTAATAGGTGTGATCGGGCGATCTGTGTTTTCTATGAAGAAATTCTCAGTAGCAGCCCAGAGTATTTCACCCCTGTGCCTCAAAATGAGCATCCCATCGGACTATAAGTGTGAGGGTATTATGCTCCACACCCTTGGACCTTAATGCTATAGCCATTAAAGTATATGCATTTCCTTGGTACGTACTCACGTACCACAGAACACTATTACCCTTTTTTTCGTACATAATATCAAGAAAAAATCAATAACCGATTTTGGCTTAACCGGGGATTCAAACTCTGATCACATGATCAGCAGTTGCGCATGCGACCACTTAAACAACGAGGCAGTCAATTTATATGGTAAGCAATAGTATAAGTAGCTAAGTATTTTGGCTGCGGGCTCGGTTCCCGCACGGAACCGATATTTCTAAGCCTGCAATATTTGTTTTATATTAAGTCCTTATGTCAGTTATATAAGTGAAGGTACCTACCATATACGTGTAAATAAAACGTACAGATAAAGTTGTAAATAGGAACATCAATAAATGTTTCTATTTATAATTTTATCTGTTATACAAGGAATCCTAGCATGCACATCAGTCTTTCATAAATTGATTGTAACATCTTATCATTTATTAATATATAATTTTATACTTTCATGCACAAAGTTGAACATATGGCGGACATATATAATGCCATAGGGCATTCTCTCCCTGTCAACCATAGGTTAAACAGAGACATACTTAGAGATGGTGCAGCAATAATAAAAATAGAAAGGGTTATATATATATATATATATATATATATATATATATGTGCGTATATATATATTTATATATATTGTATGAAAATAAGAACTGTGTTAGTTCAAGCTTGCAACGATTTTCAAAAAAAAACTTGGAAGTTTTTTAATATTAAGCTGTATGTTAATTTTATTTCTGAATTTGAGAGAGAAAAACTTTTAATTATTTTTATTATTTTACTACCTCGTACATGCTCTATACGTCAACTCTGCTTGATTTCTAAACAAATTAAATTGTATAATTCAGGACAGCAAACTACCTAAACATGACATATTTTCCGCTACACCTGCATGTTATGCCCACCTGGGTTGTCACAAAGCTTTGGAGCCATTGATTCGATATTTGCACCTCACTTCCTCTGCGGGCAAGCTGTCGTGTCTCGCTGCCAATAACGGTTGAGCCTATTTTTTACCGAGAATTTTCTAAAAGAATTTTATATTTTCAAGGCCGTGTGCTGTTTTCTTTTTTTAATTTGTAATTTTTCTAAATCCGCCACCTGTTCGCGCAATTGCTTCCAAACCTGTTTTCAAAATTAGGGTTAAATAACTTCTAATTCCAAAGTCAATGTAATTATTTTTATAAACATACGTCAAATCGAGAATTGCTAAGTTGAAGATTTTAATTTTTGTTATTCTTATAAGCATGGCCTGTGCGGGCGACTTCTTTAGCGTTGAATAGAACTCTGTTAAGATCTTACGGTAAGTGATTTTTATTAAATTTATTAATTTTATTTATTTATTTATACATTGCATAGTTATAACATTATTATAATTCTAGTAAACAATTAATCTATATAAAAGAAAATATTGAAATAATACTAGTTTTTACGGAATTTATCGCGTGTATTTAACTTTTTAATTACCCGACGTTTTGAACGCTTTACAGCACTCATGGTCACGGGCAGGACTGAGATGTTCAACGTCCATATGTCATAGTTAACCGCGGTTACCATAGATTAGAATTTAACTTTTGTTCCGATCTATGCAGTATGAACTTATGGTATCTTGAAGTCTTGCAGTTGTATGCTTGGGTTGGGATTTAATTTTATTTATTATAGGATCCCAAGCAGATGGTAGCACCCAGCCATCTTCTCTATTGAAATTAGGATGTTTTTTGATTTCAACAGCCTCGCGAATCATCCTTGGAAGGAATCGGTGTTCTTTAGCGAGGATCTGCGGTCTATCAAATCTGATGTAGTGACGGGGGCGATCCTGTACGTGTTCACAGACTGCAGACTTCCCGGAGCGTCGATTCTTCACATCAGCTATATGTTCTTTAACGCGGGTTTTTATTGATCTTTTAGTTTGTCCTATGTAGGAGAGACCACATTCACAATCAAGCTCGTACACTCCCGCATCTTGCAGAGGGACATTACACTTGACCGATGGTAAAAACTGACCAATCTCCTTCAGCGGCTTGAAGTATGTTTTGATGGAAGTGCGCTTCAAGATGTAGCCAATCTTGTCAGTGACTCCTCTAACATATGGCAGTACAGCAGGTACACGCTCGACTGTGGCCGGCTTCACTCGTTCACTGTGACGTAGGCGCGGGACTCGAAGCTTGTTGTCATGCAAAACTTGCTTGACATGGTGGAGCTCTGCAGCCAGGTGTTTACTGTCACAGATCCCTCGTGCTCTCTGAAACAAAGATTTACCCACAGTAGCTAACTGTGAAGGATGGTGGTGAGAATCACCGTTTAAATATCTATCTGTATGGTTCTTTTTTCCATACACAGTATTGCTCAAGGTGTTATCAGGATTCCGAATTACTAACACATCTAGAAAAGCTAAGGAATTGTTTGCCTCTAACTCCATTGTGAACTGAATTTTAGAATTTATAGAGTTAAGATGGTCTAAAAATGCAGTTACTTTATCTAAAGATAGAATTGTGAAAGTGTCGTCTACGTACCGCTTGTAGAACCTTGGATTTATGGGAGAACTAAGCAGGGCTTTCTCCTCAAAGTCTTCCATGAATATGTCGACGACAATGGGAGATACAGGTGAGCCCATCGCCGCACCATCTACTTGCTTGTAGAACTGCTTCCTTCCACAATAGGTAGCCAGATGTAAGGCAGTGTCTGAGTAATACTGCATATTCTACGGGCATGTTGTTTTCTTCCAGCCTTCTAGTTACAATTGAGATGCAGTCTTCAACAGGTAAGCATGTAAACAATGACTGCACATCAAAACTGACCATAGTTTCATTGTCTGCTAGATGTAGGTCTTTAATCTCGCTGACAAAATGGTAGGAATCCTTTATGTAATTAAAAAGTTAAATATACGCGATAAATTCCGTAAAAACTAGTATTATTTCAATGTGTAGTGTTCGCGTAAATATAAGAAATCATTAAAGAAAATATTGACTATTAACCCACCCTCACAAAGAAAAATAAAAAATATGTATGGGCAGTTTTTATTTTTTTTTCCTACGTCGATTGGTGCTTGAGAAACCGCTATTTAAATGTGCATTAGTGATTGTGAGCTACACTTCTTAATTATTGTGGAAAATAACTTGAAATATTCAGGATATTGCAATGGCTACTTCAAGGTAAGTATATATATTTTTATACAGCATATCACAAATGTATTTACATATATATCGTATTTGATCCCGAAGGTCACTCAGTGTAAAACAATTGAAATAATTTTAGGTTATTTTATTTATAATTTTTTCAAATAATTTTCATGTTCCGTAAAAGACACAGTAGGAAAATGAACCACTATTATTGAGGTCACTTGTCTTGATTACAGGAAATTTGGAAAGCAACTTTCTCTAAATGAGATTATTGAGGAATTGGCGCAAAATGATGATGATGACATCCCAGAATCTATTACAATAATGCCACCGGAAAATTGTAATGCTGAGGTAACGGATGAAGACTCTGGAGATGAAGACTTGGTGTCACTTCAAAACTTGCCGGGATCTCAACTAAGGGCTGCTGCTGAGGTCCAGTATGGCAACAGCTGTGATGATTGGGAGAGTGATGATGATCTATCATTAGCCGAAGTAAACAAAAGGCGACGTCAAAATTTTGAAAATGTGCTTCCACATCCCAAGCCTCGCTTCTTCAAGGACCGGATCCGGTTTCACCTGCTGTACCAGTACCTTCTACTTCAACAAATGCTCCAACTATGATCAACTTCAAAAATACTAAATATACGTGGAGTTCAAGAGATATTCAGCCTACGCACAGTGATTGGCATAACCCACAGCGTCCTGACCAGTATGGTGATAAAAATCCCATTGATTACTTTGATTGAATGTTTGACGACGTCGTTTTGAATATTCTTGTGGAATTATAATAATAATAGTAATATATTTTTAATTCAGACCATAGTCCATATAAAAATGTGTTAGTAAACAATTAACTTATATGACTATGTTAATACAAAACGTGTTAGTGACTATTACTTATGCTATGTTAGTCCTTAATCTACCTTAACCTATTCAGCACCAGCGTGGGCGCTGAGGCCTAGTGCCGGTGTGCACATCATTCCAGCTCCTCCAGAGAGGGCTGTCTAGCTTAGAGGCCAACGCGCTGAGGAGGGTGTTAGTGCTTCTCACAAGCCTGCTCATCATGGACGCGGCACGCTTTCGCACAATCGCGTAGAAGTCATCCACACGACTGTCCGCAAACATTGCCGACGCACTGCAGTTTCGCGGCTTCCTCAACACCGCCCTCAGCACATTGTTGTATTGCACTCTCAGGGCGCCGTAGGTCCGCTGCGAATAGCCCGTCCACAGACTGCACGTGTAGAATGATTGGCAGTAAGCTTTAAACAACGTTATCTTAACCTGCTTTGTACACCGTGCAAATCTGCGGGCCAACATGTTGCCTCTCACCGCCAGCGCCCGGCACTCGCGTTCAATGTCGCTGTCATCCTTCAGGCTGTCGGTTACTATATGGCCAAGGTACCTGAACTCAGTAACCTGTTCAAGGGGACACCCACATAGTTGAAAGGTGGGTTTCAATATGGGTAGCTTATTTTTCCCCTTGAACACAAGAAACTCACTTTTGTTGGAGTTGTAACTGAGTCCATGTACCTTAGCATACCCTTCACAAATTTGTATTAATCGCCTAAGACCACTGATTGAGGGGCTCAACAGAACCATGTCGTCAGCATAACTAATGTTGTTTATACTGACCCCATCTACCGAACAACCGACACCAGCTCTACTGAGGCTCACAATCAGTTGATTTACATACAAATTGAACAGCCTAGGTGACGTCAGCCCTCCCTGCTGTACTCCACACCCCAGGCTATAATCTTCGCTCAACGCATCATCCCATCTCACCACATTTTTCTGGTTACCATACCAATACTCGAACAAAGCGATTAGCTCAGGCTTTAAACTGGTTTCGTTCCTAAGCTTTTGCCACAAGATTTTGTATAGCACTCGATCAAACGCTTTAGACAGATCCAAAAAGCAAGCATATACCGGTGTTTTTCTATCAGTGTAATAACGCACAGTCTGCTTGAGGCACAGTATTGCGCTCTCTGTTGAAAGTTCCGGTCTAAAACCAAACTGCGCATCGTGTACTTGGAAAGATTTACGTAACTGCGCGTCAAGCAGACTGTCGAGGACTTTAGTTGTTATTGTTGACAAGGATATCGGCCTATAATTGGATCTGTCCGCCGCATCGCCCGTCCTGTTTTTAATAATAGGCACTACCACTGTTCTCATCATAGCCTCTGGAAGGTAACTGTGGCTTACACAAAGATTGTACAGTAGCTTGAGGACTCTGGCAATGTGCACACCCGCATATCTCAAATGTTCAACGCTGAGGCCATCGTGTCCCGGCGACTTACCACGTTTCATGTTTCTAATTGCATCATTCACTTCCTTGAAAGTGAAACGCAAGGGGCTAATCCCCGAGTTCACGATGTCCTCACCGTCGTCCAAACTACAAACTATCTTGCTAGGATCCACTTTGAACTGAGCCTTGAATATATTGGCAATGTTTTCACTTCCAGTTATGCCACCCACTTCTGCTGGAAGAGGCACCCGAGCATTCAGGCCTTTCGTTTTCTGCCAGAACTCTCCGAATTTCTTCGCCTCACATGACATTGCTAATATGTCCATCTTGATTTGTTCCGCATTGTCTTGGCACCACTTAAGCTTGCTCTTAAAAACCCTGCGCGAGTCTCGCATATCCTCATACAGAGCTCCACATGTCGGCCGTCCTGCCCAAACCCAGGTTTGAAAGCAGAGACGAGCCTTTATATGCGCCGGTCTCACATGTCTATTCCACCCTGTGATGTAGCCTTTCTTATTTCGTTTTAAACATTTATGGCTGTAACTCGCAGCATCCAGCAATATAGATGTAATATCGTCATACAATTTCTCTATGACTAAGTTGTGTTCCGGTTTGTCACACATCTTATCAGAACAATCCCTCAATTCCGCCGGAAAGTCAAGTAGCCTTAGCCTGCTATTACAAAATTCAGCATACAGTTTTATCTGATCACTATCTCTGTGACCCCAGATTGCCTTATTATCCGCCGTGTACTGAGCTGACTTCACTTGAGGTCGGACTAAGTTGAATTTACAGTAAACTTCCAGAGGATAATGATCAGACCATGTCACATTGGTTTTAACATGTATGCTGTCAATATATTTGCTAGCCATACTAGTTGTAAGGCAATGGTCTAACCAGCGCGAGCAGCCGTGACTATCACTAATATATGTATATACATCAGTATTATTAGATAAAAATTCATAATCAGAACATACCCACGCCTGCTCGCTACAAAACTGAGACAATTCATTAAAAAATAACTCTCCAGGATGTGCGTTAAAATCGCCTAAGATAAAAACAATATTAATTCCGCAGTCCTCGACAATTGCATTAATTTCACTTAGGCACTCTGTGAAATCGAAAAGATGATCGGTGCAGTCAGTAGGCATATAAACCGAGAAAATTAGCATAGTATACCCACGAAGCTGGCATTTGATCGCACACAATCTCACACTGTTACATTTCACTACTGACACGGATGAAAACATATTTCTACGCCATAATAGCGCGACGCCTCCGTGTGGACGGCCGCGCAAAATGCCGGCGCTTGTGTCTACAGCCGTTGTACCCGTTGCTTCGAAGTCTTTGTGTACAGTGCCAAGGTATGGAAGGTCAAAATCCATCAGCCAGGTCTCTTGAATAGCGACCACCGACGCTCTCTCGCATAAGCTTCTCACACAATCAACCGACCGCTTCAGGGACTTACAATTGAAACTGACTAACTTCAACGTGTGACACTTATTTTTATCATTAGTTTTGTGTTGGTCCATTAATATTTCGGTCCTTATCTCGATTTACATTTGCCTTTCTTGCATGCCTAAAAAATATATAACGCCTGAAAAATATGCCCTCCGGCCATAATTCTTTATTACTAAATAACGACAGTTTGCTCCTAGGTATCAAAAACTTAAAGGAACTATAGTCCCTAGAAGATTTCATATTTATCTTTTCTGGCACTATTCTTATCTGAGTCTTTTGTTGTATATATTCCGCTACATCATGTTCAGTATTTTCTTTTGAGACATTATATATATACAACGGGATTTGTGTGTCCGCTGCTTTCAATCTCGAAGTCGAGTCTGTCATCGCTGTACCTCTCTCACCTTTGAAACGCGATGTACGTGTTCCTCGACGCCTCACTACACGAACCCACTCCCCTTCACTATCATTCTGCAAACCACCTTCATTCAAATCAACCGCCGCCGCCGGTATAACACTGCGCCGTGACGTCACCTCATCGGTTACTCGATGCGCGAGCGCTTCATTGTTCACAGTGCCCTGCCTTATAATATCATTTTCGCTCCGGACACTCTCGCTACGCACTCTATTTGGATAGTGCATAAGTGCGACAGGGATAGATGGCTCAGTTAACACCGCCGGTGCATCTCCCAGCATAGACGGTGACTCATACACTACGCCCGAACTCCGTGACCTCATCGGAGGCGATGTGACATTCTCTAGGCCGGTCATTAACCCCGACTGCCCGCTATTACAATAATAACTTTCATTCATGCAATAACCGCCTCTTTTAGCATTTACATAGGGAGTATATTCTTTTAACTCAGAGGGAGATACCTTATCCCTAACATTGCATTGCATTTCGCCTTTGCATTGCGTTTTATAATGTTCAAAATCATTTTTCGTGATAAAATCTTCTTGCTTCTCTTGCAAATCCCTTACCTGCTTCTGTATTACAAGTATACACCTTCAGGAGACGTGTAGCGTCGACGTGGTCAAACGAAACCGGCGGCAACTTTTGGAGATCCTTTGCCACAAAAATTGGGATGTGTTCGGGATCAGTACCTTTTAATGCCGAAATTATATCGTCTATGTTTTTCTGCTTGCTGTCCTCCCCTTTCCTTTTTACCAACCGCTGCGGAATGGACTCGAAAAGCAGACATTTCGCTTTAAAGATATCTTCGTCATCAAAAGACTGCCGGCAAATTAGAGCCAGGCTCACATTGTTCATTACATCTATTTTGTTTTGCACAAAACTAAGAACCTCATTCACCACTAAATTACAGTTGTTACACTTTAGCGCATTGAGTTATACAACACAGTTATACAACACTAGAGGAGCAAACCACATTACCGCGCGTCGAAAAATGTGTAACCACTATCCAAACGCGACGACGTAGCTTTGAAACTAATAACAATTTTAAATAAACATATATCTATCTCACTTACACAAGTTACGTAAACAATATCGTCGCTAAAATTAGATAAAGATAGACACACAAACATGCAATGGCGGGTTGGTGTGGCTTACTATATAAAATTTTACCTAAAATACGCAATAAAAATGAGTTTTTTTTAAGCTTCAGTTAATTGTTTTTATATTAAGAAAGTATATTTTATTTTAAAATCTTTATTGCGTCCCCTTAGAAAAAAAGAATACAAAGCTTATCAGATGAGTTAGAAGTACATAATGATGAAATAAAACATATTTTTATAAATATTTTTTACTGTACTAATAAATCAAGTAATATAAAATAGGTAGTGAAATATAATTAATATAAAATTTATATGAAATTTCAATTAATATAAAATTATTAATATAAGATATAAGGTAGTAAAATATATTTAATAGATAATTCATGAATAAAATAAAATA